AGCTTCCTTTTCTGTATGTGCATGCATTCGGCACATATTAATGTCATGCCTGCTACATTCCAGCTACACTCCATTCTGGAGACACAGTGGTGAAGCCCAGGCACGGTCTTTTTGCCATAGCCTTTCTATTCTAGTAAGGGGTGCTAGTACACACCACGACTGGCTCTGTCTCCTGCTGCTAAATTAGGATGTCCTGTCATTTACCCAGAATACAGCAGGGGGCAGATAAAGTCCATCTTTCAAAATCATTTGCGGCAGCCCAGCATTTTAGATGGCAGCAGATTAGAATTGTCACTTCAGTTTTTGAAGGAAACTAGAATCTGGTTTTGCATTTTGCTCATTGCTTATCTGACTTTCGGTATCTCTGGTGTCAAATCTGGGAAAAAGCCAAACTGCAGGTACATTTTCTCTTTCAGAGTAAATATTTTTGGGAAATAGCTGTGAGGGACGCTTGCTAAGTAAAGGAATTCTACTCTGAATGCTTTCAAAAATAAAGACTATTCAATGGATTTAACATTAATTCAATTTAATATTTTCTATAAATCCGAATTTTCATTTAAGTATTTGCTTAAATTTAACTGTAGCTGTGTTTTGATTTTTGCTGAGAGGATGGGTAAAAAGACCATCCTCATTAGCTAATCTTATTCCTATTTCAGAAATAGTAGCCACTCCTACATCCTTTTGGAGTGAATTAAGAGGAAATTTTAGAAATGTAGAGAAAGCAAATGTGCGCGTGCGCGCGCGTGCGTGTGTGTGTGTGTGTGTGTGTGTGTGTGTGTGTTTGACATACTGTTATGGCCACAAGAATGGCATCAGAGGGGCAGAAGAAAGGAAAGGACCAAGGATGTGGGGTGTTGCATTTTGGGCAAAGACGTCGAGAGAATATCCTAATTTTGGACGTTTTAATGGTATGTTAGGTTTGCTGGGTCCTTTAAAGCAATAAGTATTCAACTGAGCTGTGAAGCTAGACATTGGAATTTCCTATGAAAAGGAAAATCTGAGCTAAAGAGAGTAGAGTTACCTGAGCAGATACCTTTTATCAACCAGCACCTTACTGGATCTCTTTTTAATCTATGGTTTCCCTGGGCCTCCTGTTCTATTACTCTCTAGAGGACAAACACAGGAAAACGACACCAACTCCCTCTGGCAAAGGCTCCTTAGAGAGCCAGTGGGTGAGTAGAGGTGGGAGGGGAGAGGACTAAGTCAATTTCTAGTGAATCTGAGAGCCAATCAAATCTTATTATTCTGTTGAATTATTTCTCTTCTCCTGCACATAGTAAGTTCTGTGGGACGGGGTCATGTTTATCTTGTTCACCACTGACTTTCCTGTGACCATGACATTTTTCATACACCAGTGCCTTAGGAGCAAAAATAACAGCCCTCCCACTGACCTCATTAAGAAAAGACTAAAGAGATTAAGAAACGTGGATAATCCCAGCCATGAGTTATTTGGAAATTGTGTGTGTGTGTGTGTGTGTGAGATTTCCAATCATCTGTCCCTGTTCACCTATGAATATGACGAAATGCAGAGGTACTGAGTAAGTATAGCTAAGGAGTTCTGAAATGCCTTCGAAGTTGACCTAATATTGTAGATGCCTTGAATTAGAAGGGCCTTACCCTGCCCCACCCATCCAGTTCAGGAATTCTGCAATGTCCCTAAAGGGAAGTCACCTTATTCTGCTGGAACACTCGCCAAATCTTTTTTTTTTTTTTTTTTTTAACAAATCCCTAACTGATTTCCCTGTCCCAAATTTATTTCTTTCCAAT